ATTGTTCGGGATTTATGATATGCACGGGTTTTTATTTCTTTCATATGGGCTTCTGTGATTTATTTCAGATTTTTCCCTCATGATCTAAGGTTGTTTTGCACTTTCTGTGCTTTGTTTTGACCGGGCTCTTCCTTATTTGGACGGAAATTGGTCTTCACAATCTGCCGAAGTGCGGATCTCGGTTCCGATGGCCGGTTCCCTGCGCATCGCCACCCTCACGTGTCATTACACATGATGCGGATTTCTATATTCCCGTCATGGGTATAACTTCACAACGGCTGGACCGTTTGGACTGAAAATTTGCATAACTATAGTTCCCCATTTTTAATAATTTCCGTGTAAATTTCGTTGTATGTTTCAATTATGGATCCTACGCAAACATCGTCTTTTCCCTGAGCTCGGACTTTTGATGTCACTATTCCCGTTATTGGATATCTCATTAACGCATGATCCTTTTATTATGAAAATTTGGGAGGATTAAGATTAGATCCCTTCCTTTCTAATGGTCCATCAAGCTTGTCTCGGTCGTTACTGGTTAATTTTTGCGCTTGCCTTTTAGATATTGTCCTCGTTTTGCAGGAGTTTTAGTCATATCTCTGTCGTTTATGGGTAGTTTCCCCTGTAATTACTCTCATTGGGTCCGTTTGGGGGACATCTACATTTCCTATTATAAACACGACTTTGAATTTTGCATTAGTTCCTGAGGAATCCTTGTTCCGTGGTACTTCCATCCTTGGCTACATGTGCGGACGTGGGAAAGTAGTTTCCGTGGAGGTTCTCTGATTGTTTTTATAGTCAAATCTTGGTCGATTGTCCTAATTCTTGTTTTAATATTTGCTGTAAATTCCCCCAGGAATTCCGTCTCATTGATGGTAAGCTTGAAGTATTTTTGCTATTTTTCTTTCTTTCGATTTATCGTGTATAGTCATAATAATTCGTAAAAATTCGTGTCCTTCAGTTTTCTTATATCTACTTGTCATATGAGGTTTTGTGATTTATCTGGCATATTTCCATAATGGGTTTCCATAGTGTGACCGTTATTTCTCCTACACCCTGTGAAATAGAAATAGAAATAGGAATAGAAATAGAAGTGGGAGAGGGATAGAGGGGGAAGGGATATGAAGGAAGGGTGCAGGGTGGGAGAAGGGGTACCGGGTGAGGTGGGTCCAGGTGGAGGTGGGTCAAGCAGGTGTGCCCTGACAGTGCCCTGACAGTTAGCTGCCTGTCCCAATGCCACCTGTCAGGGACAGCTCCGAAAGCGGCGAGGTCCCGGCGTGCGGGACTCGGTTGGACGAGTAGCAGCTGTGCGTAGCGGCGATCTCGTCACGGGGTGAGCGTCCCCAACCACTTAGTCTGAAGTGGGAATGTGAGTTATTATTAAAAGGGAAGGCTACACTACTTGCCTGAAGTGGGAATGTAAGAAGAAGGCTACTTCTTCAGTTCCCACTCCAGCTGTTATTATATACATGTGGGATCGGTCACATGGGGCGCGCCACGTCACCCTTGCACACAGCCACGGCTCTCCGGGTGCCTCCACGGGAGATCCCGAGAGGGCCTGCTGTGGGTGCGGGGCAAGTGTGGTGGCGATGGCGGCGATATAGGAACGGTGAGATACAGGAGGGGAAGTAGGCATGCGTGCCGGTGATACATTGGGCAGTGGGACATCAGCAAAAAATTGTTATGCTCCTGAGTGCTCCGGAGTATCGAGAGCACTGGGAGAATCAGGAGGAGATTGGCCGGTCCAGGAACAGCCCATTTCCTCCGGAGTTGGCTAGGTACTCCAGGGCACTCCCAGGAGGGCCTGGAGCATTGCTTTGTGCACAAACATATCCAGTAAATACAATTTAAATGCTTCAAAGTGTATAGGGGTGAGAAGCTTCTGGGGGCTCCTGGAGCATTTGAAAATGAAAAGGAAAAAAAAAGAGGAAAGATCCCCCATGAATACCTCCTACCACAAGACTAACACAACAAGACACTGCTTAACATTTAGATCAAACACTATACTATATATCAAGGACACTGAGACTCACCAATACACAATCAAAATTTATGGCCTGATATATGATTAATCTGGCAACTTAATCACTTTCGGGCTGGCAGAATATGGGGGAGGGGGAAATGGGGGAAATGAGGGGGGAAATGAGGGGAAATGAGGGGGAGAATGAGGGGGAGAATGAGGGGGGAATGAGGGGGAGAATGAGGGGGGAATGAGGGGGAATGAGGGGGGATATAGAGGGAAATGAGGAAAATTTGAAAAATAGGGACTTCTAAAAAGTTGAAAAAAATAATTAGGGAAAAAATCAAAAAAAAATCAGGAACTGTAGTGCCTTTGAAGTGCTTTCAGGATATATAATTATTTGCAAAATGGAGGAAGAAATGATGGAGAAAAATGGAAAATACTTTCGGAGACCCGAGAAATAATGAGAACTGAATTGATGGGAAAGTCTGAAAATTGAATAGGGAAGTGAGGGGAAGCCTTGTAGCATTGTTATTTTCTGCTGTTCTAATTTTTCCTGATTGTTCTTGGTCTCACTCCCAGCTGCTCCTGGATACTCCTGGATACTCCTGGAAGCTCCTGGGAGGGTCCAGGAGGAGCTAATGGAAAATACTTTTGGGGACCTGGGAAATAATGGGAACTGAATTGATGGGAAAGTCTGAAAATTGAATAGGAAAGTGAGGGGAAGCCTTGTAGCATTGTTATTTTCTGCTGTTCTGATTTTTCCCGATTCTTCTTGGTCTCATTCCCAGCTGCTCCTCAATACTCCTAGAAGCTCCTGAAAGCTCCTGGGAGGGTCCAGGAGCAGCTGGGAGTGAGACCAAGAACAATCAGGAAAAATCAGAACAGCAGAAAATAACAATGCTTACAAGGCTTCCCCTCACTTTCCTATTCAATTTTCAGACTTTCCCATCAATTCAGTTCTCATTATTTCTCGGGTCTCCGAAAGTATTTTCCATTTTTCTCCATCATTTCTTCCTCAATTTTGCAAATAATTATATGTCCTGAAAGCACTTTAAAGGCACTATAGTTCCTGAATTTTTTTTTGATTTTTCCCTAAATTTTTTTTTTCAACTTTTTAGAGACCAAAATTTTCCTCCCACTGCTCCTGGCACATTACATACTCCTCACCACTCCCAGCTGCTCCTGAACCCCCTCCCAGGAGAACACTATTGGCTCCAGGAGTGCCCAATCTGCTGTTTTGTCTCCCACATGCTCCAGCCACTCTTGATGCTCCGGAGCATAACGGACTTTTGCTGATGGAAAGGTGGTCCATGTGAGGAAGAAAGAAAGAAAGAAAGAAAGAAAGAAAGGGGGAAAGGAGAAAGGAAGAGGGAGAAGCGGTGTGGAGTGGGGGAGCGGAGCGAGGGTTGGGTGGGGTGTGCCCTGACACCACCCGAGCCCATTCCCGCTATGCGAGCATGAGCGCAAGCCCCAACCTCAGCCCTATCCTCCATGAGGACTCCCTGCTCACTCCCCCACTTGCCCCTAGGCTCCCCTGCACCTGGCCGACTCCCCCACAGCCACACCAACCTTCCCACCCTGAGTCCGCCTCCGGCACCGTGCCCAGCACGACTCCTCTACCCTGCCCACTTGGCCCCTACAGGGCTGCTACCATTCCCGCACCCGACTCCAGCCCAACTCCGAGTCCAGCACCGCTACGATACCATTGCCACTATCGCAGCCCTACGCTCCTTCCTTTATTTATCTGCTATTGTTTGTTTTGACCCTCGGTCATTGCCGGCTGCTATGCGGCCAACCCCACTCCTTATTCCTGTTTGCTTCCGGACCCTTTGGCCTTCGGCCCAGGTCCGCTTCCATTCATTCTTTCTCCCTATATATATCCTGTATGATACTTCATTGTACCTTAGCTCTAATATCGATTTGACCACGACCCCTAAAGTCCTGACCCCAACAAGGCAACCTGTTAGACACTGGTCCAGGGTCGGCACCAAAGGTCACCGTTGCGGGCCACTATAGGCCGCGATGGCCGTGATGCCGGGAACAAGGCCCGAGGGTAGGGCATTTGGCCTCAGCAACTCTAAAGGAGCGCTGTGCCCCCTAGCTGTCTCTTGGCCCTCATTTCAGACTTACTGGGGTTGCCTTGCTGGGGTCAGGACTTAGGGTCATGGTCAAATCGATATTAGAGCTAAAGTACTATAATGTAGTATACAGGATATATATAGGAGGAAGGAATGAATGGAAGCGGACCCGGGCCGAAGGCCGAAGGGTCCGGAAGCAAACAAGAATAAGGAGCGGGGTTGGCCGCACAGTGGCCGGCAATGACCGAGGGTCAAAACAAACAATAACAGATAAATAAAGGAAGGAGCGTAGGGCCGCAATAGCAGCAATGGTATCGTAGCAGCGCCAGACTCGGAGTTGGGCCGGAGTCGGGCGCGGGAATGGTAGCGGCCCTGTAGGGGCCGAGTGGGCGGGGTAGAGGAGTCACGCTGGGCACAGTGCCAGAGGCGGACTCAGGGTGGGAAGGTTGGTGTGGCTGTGGGGGAGTCGGCCAGGTGCAGGGGAGCCTAGGGGCAAGCAGGGGAGTGAGCAGGGAGTCCTCAGGGAGGATAGGGCTGAGGTCAGGGCTCACGCTCATGCTCGCATAGTGGGAATGGGCTCAGGCGGCATCAGGACGGGCAGGGAGTGGGCCGGAATGCACAGCCGTGACACAACCCCAGTAAGTCTGGGATGAGGGCCAAGAGACAGCTAGGGGGCACAGCGCTCCTTTAGAGTTGCTGAGGCCAAATGCCCTACGATCGGGCCTTGTTCGCAGCATCACAGCCATCGCGGCCTATAGCGGCCCGCAACAGCAACCTTCGGTGCCGACCCCGGACCAGTGTCTAACAACCACCCTGAGACCCATCCATTCCTTACATTATGCCTAAAAAAGTGTAAGGTCTCTCCAACCCCATACCCCAGTGTGTACAAGCCACACTGCAAATGCTATTGAGGTTCCACCAAAAAACCAAGAGTTACATGGAATTGAGGACAAATCTGATACACTATTTCATGATTAAGGTTCCAGTAACACACAGCAAGCATTCTAGTATTGCATTCCCCCCAGGAAAAAAAACACCTTGGTAAGCAGATGCCCCATGAGCACTTAGGCAAATGAATTTAGACTGAGGGGGATGCTAGGGCAAGACAATGTCAAATCTTGCTGCCACATAAATAAGTAGCCGCACATACGCTCTGAACTCTTAATGGAACTAGGCATGTTGAGAGGTATAGCATGCAAAATCCGACCCTTTATCTACGGAGTTACATAATCAAATTGGCGAGGTCAACCGTGACAGCTGCTGAGAGGATCGTACCCTGGCCGGTAATTTGGACAAGTGGATGGACTGTCCAGCATTTTCTATGGGTCCTTGTACCAGGTATTGTCGGACATGACTACGAGCATGTAGGCTGGAAATGATGTGATAAAGAATGCGGTAATATTCACGCGACCTAGGACTTACTTTGCTAGCAAAGTGATGGTGTATACTCCTCCCAACGACTAAATAATGAAGGGATTGCAGGTAATATGAATGATGGGAGTAAGGAAATTTCCGAACTAACCACTGAAAACCAGATATGCATGAAGTGAAATCCATCATACACAACAAACTGGATTGAGAGGATGGTTTATCATTTTTGGTCATCAAAGAAGGTCAGATCAAAATCTGCTCACTGCAATCAAAATTATCAAAGCCAGAACACTGTCAAGAAAGGAATCCTGAATCTCATTCACACGCGGTGATGAATGCGGAGCGGCTGACCTTGTAACTGCACCGGTATGAATCGCGTACCTGACTAGGATTCCTATAGCCCTATCTGTCCTAGCAAGATCTACTCAGGCCTGCCTCCTAGCATTCGGAAGATCGCTCCCGTACCTTCCGAATCCGGTTCGACTGCGGCGTAACAGGACAATCATTATTGCCGCGATCAACGTATCTGCGGTAGCCTAAGGGGTTCTCTCCGAGTCCCCGCAAAACAATAATAATGCGCATGAATGATACTAACCTGAGCTGCACACAAACCGACGACTGGGGTTCTGTTCCAATTGGGTAGTGAATATACTTGCGGGTGCAGATTCCTTGAAAGATTGCGATGTGATGTTATCGTTACTCCATCGCACTCGGCACGATCACTTACCCTACAATATACACCCCTACGGATATATACGCAAGTTAGTCAGCACATTGTGACGAAACAGGATGAGACGGTTTACAAAGCCCGAAAACTGTGGGCATTAGTTTGCAAGTGCTCGGATCAGTATAAGCTACGACATACCAAGCTGAAGCAAACTAGTCATCATTACGGGTAGAGCCACCCATACATTGGTCACTGGGCATAAACTCATGAGTGATTTTACTGAGGAAAGAACCGAAACAGACTTTTTCTGATACGCCAGGAGAAGAAGGATTGGACCAAGATGGAACACACGACCTGGGGGAAGTACATGAGATAGATGGTGTAGGCGCTGGTCGGGGTACAAGACACACAGTCGACATAGTAAACTCAGAGTTATACCTGAACAGTAGGTCAGGACGGTTGTGGCCACAATTCAAGGTAGGCTCACCATGAATTTTTTATTGGCGAGTCCTTGCGCGAAATAACCATCCTGTATTGACCTGACAGACAGCACCCACTAAACAACGAAGGTGAAAATGAAGTGCTTGCAATCCTCAGGAAGCACATACAGGCCAAAGAACTGGACGAGCCTGAGAGACACATGGAATGAGAACCTGAACTTGGTGCAACGTCGGCCTGGCTCACATTAGCGCTAAAACCTGGGTGGGTGCAGCAAGTGTAAGAGGGTGTCAAGGCGGCGAATCACCGTGATGGGGGAAGTACCAGAAGTTTTGTTACCACAGGGTCGTTCGGATAAGACAGAAAATATGATCGAGACTGTACAGTCGTGATCCCAAGGAATCTGTAGGAGGAGACTTAGCCTGCCCCAGTTTGCATGACAGCTCAGCTTACATCGCGATAAAGAGAATGCCATAGGTGTAGCCACCAGAAAGGTGCTCAAACGGAGTCATTGTCATTGCGAGTGGGGAGTTCAAGAGAGTTCTCCCAAAGCGAACGGCATTGAGTGAAGACAGGGTTTACAACTTATTAACGTCCCTTCCCAACGGGTCCACCTTCTTACAATTATAGATCGAAAGCCCACGTTGGGAAAATTTACACCCGCTGATCGCCACTGAATTGAAGGGCCGAGCGGTATGTCGCAGAATTGATGCTGGACTTCAACGTGATACATAAGCGACAGCAATGATTATCTACGATACGTAAATGACTATTGCACTGATGGGTGGATGGAAAGTTTCAACCATACCTCTGCACGCAGCTTATGTACGATTGATGGTACTTTATGTATTGTCAACTTAGTCAAGGACGTCATTCATGAGTGCCTGGCCGCGCAAGTAATTCTAACTTCTAAGTAATAACCGACTGACCATATCGTTGATGGAGGGACGATGGACTGTGTTTAAGGTTGCACTAACCGTCAGCCTCCCCGCGTGAATTCCTCGTCCGCGCGCGAGGCTGACGGTTGTGGTCATTCGATCTGGCAGGGTCTGTGGAGCTGTGGGGTAAGGGGTCCATGGAGACAATATTATATAAGCAAAAGGCACCATGTGGAGCTACATGAATGGCGGCTAAGCGGGCAGGGATTAGCTCCGGTACTTCTCCGGATATTCAGTACGCATCTCCATTCACGGTCATGCACCCACAGCAACTCGTCCCTGTGTTGGGCCAAGAAGCCCAGATAGCCATTTACACCTTCGGCCCAGTTGAGCCTACCTGATGTCCGCCTCGCTGTCTGCCACTATGGATCACTGTATGAATACCAACATTCCATCTCGTGCTTCAGTTTGGTGTAACTGGCCCAGATGCTATGGAATGCGCCGCGTCCAACCACCCCAAAGCCTTAGATATTTTTGGAGTTCCAAGGGGACTTTGTACATGACTGAAACAGTCCTCCTTGCCTCTCTAAGCCAATTCAACTTAGCATCGAAATGGCGTATGTCATGAATGAGGCAGCACAACCCCTCACGATCGACAGTGCATCCCGCTTCAACAGCTAAGACGACGATAGGGCGAAAATAAAAACCTAGAAGCTCCGAATGAACAGGGGTCAAGAGGAGAGAGAAAGCATAACGCCAACACTGGGATTGATACTTTTCCCATAAAGTCCGCAAGAAATAAACCAAGATGATAGGACAGTAAGATCTGTACACGACAGGAAATGAACCTGACCAACACAGCGAAAACAAAATCACCAGGAGTGCTGACGACATCGCATCAAGCGAGTTTGACTTCGATGTGTCATCATTTTCCCTTAGGTGGGGAAGGTAGAAGCCAATTGCCCGCCACGTACCTAATGACAATGCCGAACAACTTTATAAAAAACCCTCCAAACACTCCCCTTCGCAACGGTGACTCTCACCGCCGAATCAGCCGGAACCGTAAACCGCCCCCACGAAAACCCCTTCCTCACACATTCATCCCCTTGTTCACACCTTTCACCTGGATTCTGGATAATCTCGCTCGTCTTACCCAAATTCACCACGATAGAAGGATCATAGTTGTTTACAGCCTCGATCATGTATTCATCCGTTTTGGCCGCGGCGTCGACGATGATGATCTCGACGGGAAAGGAGTAGGAGAGGGGTATGGTAAGTGAGGGGTGGCCTACGCAGAAGCGTCGTTCGTTCCAGTTGGAGAGGATTTCAGCGTGCTTACATGGAGGATCGTATGCTTGCGGAGGGCAATAATTGATAGGACGAGTTTCGGTAGCTGTTGTAGTCAAAGTAGCTGTTTGGTACTCGGTTATGAGTTGGGTGAGAGTGGAGTATTGAACATCGGTCACTGTGTGTGTTTGGTATTCCGTTGTGGTTCGTACGACGGAGTATAAGTCGGTCTCTGTTTTCGTCCCTGTCACTGTTGAGACCTTCGTCTGATATTCCGTTATGGGTAGAATTGTCGGGACAAGCTGAGTAGTTGTGACCGTGACAGGTGGAGGAGAGGGTGGAGGTGGAGGTGGAGTCTGATTGTAATTCGGGTCAGCGTCCTAACAGGGTGGGGCACACTGAATGTAGTCAGTCACGAACCGGGCATGTCACGATTGAAGTGATAGTATTGACGATAGTGACAGGAGGAGGATAAACGGTCTGCAAATCAAGATGTGACGCAAATGACTTGTGGTCAGAATTCTTCAGACTCAAATGATCAGACAATCCACCTACCGTAACCGAGTGCCTCTCCACGAGCTGAGGAGGCTGAATAATCGTCGCCGTTCTCGTCACCGTCTTCGTCACCACATTCGCACTCTCGATCACAGGAAGAACAAGTGTTAAACCGCTGTGAGTATGTTCCTTGTATTTCACAATCCACTGTTCGGCCGATGCGGGACGAGGAGTTGGCAAAAGGAGAGTGCTGTATTGAGTCTGGGCGAAGTAATACGTCGTATGGTGGTTAATGACCGTCCATCCGCCAAGTGTAGCATGAGGCCAAGAAGGGTGGGTTGCAGGAGGTATACCACTTGTCCATTCTATTGTCGTAATGGCAGGCACAACTGTTGTTATGGGTAGAGGCTCACAGTCATGCGACCGAGTCTGTGCTAGGGGGAAAGGTTGTGAGGGACGAGGGAGCTCAGGTGAAGGCTCAGCCACCCGTCCGTTCCCAGGAGGTAGTGGAGCTTCAGGGGCCCAACCGTGATCAACAGGAGGGAAAACTGCGAACGCAACGCTAGACGCTGCGCCCAATAAGAGTGACAGATGAAGACCCAGAACCATGATTAAGAGGGTGAAAAGTCCCAGGAGGCAATACCACCTACTTGCAGTGATGGCTTTACATTAAGTGCCTGCAGGGAACGTGGCCTCACTAACCATTGACAGCGGGACGGGTAGTCCGTGCAGCGCGCATCAGGAAGTGGAGAATCAACAGCCACCTTCAACGAGGTGGGCACATGTTGGTTCCTATCGCATGTAGAAACAAAGGTCTTGATTGATTCTCAAGAGACAACTCGGACCTCGTCTGCTCGAAGCGTCGAAATCAATACAGTCAGGTTGGTATTCCCACGCACCTCGGCTCAATCACATATCAACATGCTTTCCCTATGGATTCTCTTACTGTAGAATGAGGCAAGCACCTGTATGCATGCCAGTGCTACATACAATCGTGTAGAATATTCAGTCATCGCGTGATCGTCGCCACATGCACTTGGAACTATGCCCTGATCCTACCCTTGTTCATGTTAATGAGTTAAATATTCGGATAACGCGGAAATCTGAAGTTGACACCCCACAGCAAGTCTGATTACAGCGTTTCATCATGCAAACGAATACGATACCGTTTGATCGTGCCATCACCCTTCCACCGAACATCGAAGGGTTAGGCAAGGGGAAACCAGAATCAGTAGGTGTTTGAATATCAGACACAATTATAGACGCTTGAATCCGGGCAATCCCTACCATGACCCCATACCACACCGTTACCTCTCCCAAAAGTAGGGTTGTACAAGAGAAACTGAGGTAAGTTTCCCTGGATAGGAAATGTAGCAGCGATATAGAATCCATCTATCTCATCAACCGCCGCCAAACGTTGATGGAAAGGATATGAACCGTGGGTGTTGGGGGCACGTGTTCGAAGGCCTTTATCTATTCTTCAATAGGGTAGTGAGTCCCTCAGGGTTGCGATTGGCTTAGGACCCGGAAGGCGCGCAGAAGGCCGGTGTCCGGGCGGGCTTCCACCAGAGTGGTCGACCCGCGCCGAAGGGTGAAGCAAAAAGGACGGGCACATTGGGATACATAAAAAAGTGGGATTTAGATTCCCATGGACAATTGCCAGTGCGATGTATTTGATGGCTGCGCGAGAATCCCGGGGCAGTTGGGAAAACGTACTTGCTCAGGGTGCTTGGGCCCGAGTTTGCCCAAGTGCATTTCGATTCTCACGAGAGAACTTCACCTTCAGCGACAGAGAAGGCGAGCTCCATGAAAAGCTAAGGGGCTTTCAGGCCAGCGAAGCCAACAAGGAAAGCGGCTGGAGAGAAAAAGCGCAAGATCCATCAAGTTCGACGGGCGCGCGAACTTGTTCAAAAACCGGCTGGGGTGAGAAAGATTTGGATCCGCTACATCACGTCCCCTGTCGCGCAATTCATCCTCTCCTCAATCCTCTCTCCTTACTCCTTCTCCTTCCCAGAAGACTGACGAAAGCTCCCTTTTAGCGCCTTCTGGGTAATCTTTGAACCTTACGAAAAGTTTTCCATTTATATCATGTCCCGTCACGCCCATGAACGATCACCTCTCGACACACACCCAACTTCCTCTATCAGTACATCCCATTCTCCTCCACGTTCTCCCCATTCAACTGCATCACTCCCATCGCCCCCTTCTTCGCCTAATCATCGTGATCGAGATCAGAATTCAATGCCAGGTTCCCCAAGTTCACTCGCGTCAGACTTTCCTCTCAGCTCCCTCAACTCTTCTCTCTTCCTCTCTGAAGAATCTTCTCCTGTGTTAAACCCAGATTTATCCGAGGATGCTTCAAGGACCCTAATCATGCCATCGTTGATGCTCCCTTCGCCTTCGAGACATGATGCCGTTGCTGGGGAAACAATTGGAAATGTGAAACTCTGGATCATGGGCCGACGTTCTCATGCGTGTCGGTCCGCGGCGGAAGGTATACTTGAAGGTCCCTCTTTGGTTGTGGACGTGGATCCTTGGAAGAACACCCCGGATAACTATCCAATCTTGAGAGCGTCGACGATTCTATCCTCACCGGAGGTTCGGAGCCGGAGGAACATTGAAATTCTGCTTGTTGAAATTGACGAACGCGATGTGAGTTTATACGAATTGCTGGTCATCTGAGTGTTTCGAAATCCTATGCTCATGCATAAACATTGTTGAATCGTCGTTTAGTCTCATACCGACTTAACCACCATACTCGACGTGATTCATAGACCATTCTCGGCAGTGGACCGACTTCTCAACACCTCCGAACCTTCCAGCACTTCCTTCATACCACTCCTAACATCCAACTCGACCTTGTTGTACACAGCACTCATCTTTCTATGGCCATCCAGTGCGTTCACGCTTCCCAACCTTTACCTATTTGGAAATCAGTGCAACTGACGATCATGAACTTCTTTTCCATTTTCATCAGCACCTAATGAAATTGATGTCTCTCTGGTCAGAGACCTTGCACCTCACATTCCAATCATTCCAATTCACGCATCAACCCCTATCCCTCATTTATCTCATCGCCGCAATGTTGCGCCACACCCAGCATCAGCCATAACTAATAGCCCATTTTCCTCTTTGGCTATCTCCACTATCCGTCCGTCCTCCCTATCACAACTCCGTGATCTACTATTTCATTCACCTTCCGTCCTTACACATCTTCGGACCGAAGCAGCTGAAAGATTCCTGAGATGGCGTGATCTTAATGCCGCGTTGCGTCAACTTTCTTCATCCACGTCATCACTGGCCGCTTCGATCTCCCGGCATAGTGCAATTCATCGTCGTCCTCGTTCATCTACTACTCGAGCCGCCTTGCCTCCGTCTTTTTCTTCGACGACGATGATGAACGATCACGAGGATCAACAGCACCCGGATTCGGATGAGCATCTCTTGCCGAACCCTTGGATGTGGAATTGGGAATCTAGGTTCTCTCGCGATGTTCGCGATGCAGCGAATACTCTTAGAACGGACGACCCTGCTGGGACATATGAAGAGGATGGTGAAGCAGGGATGACACTTGAAAAGGCGTCGTCTTCACGGACGGTGGGTAGTTCGTCATTACGACGGAGTAACTCTCAACGTCTTGGCAATGGGGTACCCGGTGGGAGATCGCTTTATCTTCCGCCGCATGGACATAGTGATCCATTGCATTTGCGGTCAATTGCTGTTTCTGTCATGTCCGTTGTGCCCATGCTTGGATTACGTCTGTTTGGGTTTAGGAGGAGCCGTAGTAACGGTCATAGACGTTCCACTGCGACTGCACCTGCACCAGAATCGGGCCCGTCTTCGTCTGGGGGGAGAGGACCAACGAAACACTTTCCATGGGGGTTGTTTGGACTTGGTGTCAGCGTTGGAGTAGCAATATCATTATGTGTCGTTGGACTTGGTTTGAATTTTTATAAGCGTTAAACTCTATCTTGTCGCCAGTGTGAAAGGAGTGTTCCGGTGATGGACTTGTCGCTTGCCTCGCATTTTCCTTCCATCATTGATCATCGATTACTCATCTGTGTAACTCGCAGTACCTGACCTTCTCACCTTGCATCAAAAAGGACCCATGCTACTACGTTTTCCGTCTTCGACGTACATACCACGCCATTGCACGGTACCCAGTCGTCGCACATCTCTTCTGATTAGCCTAGCTCATGTACAATATTCTCACCAGCCTCATTTCTTAGACTTTGCGATTCCACAACTCGAGCTGCGGGTGATGCTTATAGTCCTTTTGATGATATGCCTTCAGCTGGTTCAGCTGGATCTATGTAGTTTTACGTGGAACAAGTAAAATATTCTGAAGATCTACCCTGCCTGTGGCCGGAGAGTCGCATTGTTTAGGCCGAGATCGAGGGAGATGCACATCCGTGCACGCGTTGCCCACTTTGCAGCGGAGGGAAATCCAACCATGTTTCCCCGGCTAGAGTAGCCAGATAGGGCAGCAGTAAGGTGATACAGGGTTCAGTAGACTGCAGAAATATACACTTGGAGTGTGAAAAACCATTCCATAGTGACTGGACGGAAAATGGACCCAAAGCTTGAGCTAGGCAGGCGACCAGCCTTAAGCCTGAGCAGGATGAAGTTCGAATCAATCGTGAACTGCATAGAAGTCCCAGTTAAGAACAGAATGTCCTCACGTCCGTGTCTGAGCTCTACTGAACGCCATTCACGGAGCAGCAAGCAAGTACGAACCAGCACAAATGGTGACAGGCAGGCAGGAGTATTTCTCGGCGGGCCAATCATGCGCCGCTGGAAAAAGAGGGAAAGCCCTAGAACAGACCTGAGTTCACAGGGCATGGACAAAATTGGTGGCGGTGCAGCGTGCTGTTCGTCGAAGGTTCGGCCTGCGCGTCAACAATAGATCTCTGTGAACCTCAAGATTATCTTAGACCTTCAATCAGATCTGTATAGTTATTCGGTTGTTGTGAACTGTCTCGAGGCATAATTTACCGACCCCGCTGTAGTGAGTTTTCCCTTCAAACCAAAGCATCCAAGCGCAATCCTGACTCTTCGGGCTCGCAGATCACCTCTCCATTGTCTCCATATGCACCAGGAAGCATCTTTTTCTGTCTTAGAGCCAGGGAAACAGAGGATCATGGCTCCAGGTCCGTCGTGCGACTCCAAACGACTTTCTGTTCAAGACTGACCTCCATAAGCATATTTGTTATCTAAATTACGACAGAGGACGAAGCGACTTCTCAGTGGAACTGGAGTTCATGTCCATAATACTCTCGCATGTCGGGAACATGAAGACCAATCGTATGACAGGTCGGATGCACAAACACAAATTTTGGTTGGTCTCTCAGCACCAAGACCCACTGTCGCACCAGCGGAACCCCCACCTAATCCACCCGAGGAGAGCCACATTCAAGTGAATTTGACGGATTTTTGTAATGCAGTATTTGGAACGCCACCTCCACAACTGTCCGAGGCAGCCGAGCGAGTGGTAAAAAGTAGGAAATTCCTTTCCTGCAGAAAACGATACATGGAAATGTACGGTTTCAAGAAGGACTTGCCTGTGTTCAGAGCGGACCCGGATATTCAGCTCATGCGTCTTTTCAACCTGATACTGATCAAAGTACGCGAATTCGCCTTCGATCAGCAGTACCTCCACGACATACACTATGCCAAGCGTCCCGGGCGATCCAAGTCAGGTCAGTCACCTTCCTCCAGATGTCTCGGCGTTGAGGTGCATACAACGGCGAACGGGAAGCTCAAATTCGGGTTTTCAAATGCACTCGTAATCATCGATGTAAACCCCAGCCTTATTCCTTCACCCTCTTCCGACGCAAGTTCATGGCGACCCCCCGACAATCGAACCTCGCCTTCGTCTTCCCCTTACCATTCTCCCGAGCCACGACATGATCACTCTCCAGGAGGAACCAAACGTCAACATCGCGAGTCGCCACCTGATATGTCCGCCGAGTGCAGTCGACATGGAAAACGACAAAAGCACAACCCCATTCCCGAAACATGGTCACCTCCAACCCCCGATCCTTCTTCGCTCAAGCAGTGCGCTCTTCGTACCTTATCAGCAATTGGAAACCGACGCCATGTTTTGGGGATTCATGTCGACGGGAACATGTTTCAGCTTTGGTATTTCGATCGTGCCGGTTCAATCTGCTCGAGTAAGATTAGCATTAAGGACGATGCAGAGCTATTCGCTACCTCCATTGTGTTGTTCTCGCTCGCTAGCAAAGAGCGGCTTGGCTATGAACCCTTTTTCGAAGCGCCAGCTAGCGTAAAGCGTCGGTCGTGGTTCACCATCCAGAATCACGAGATTGGAGTGGAAGGACATCGTCTCAGGATATTAGGAATCGTTCATCCTGCTGCGTCATTGTATGGGCGAGGAACGGTCGTGTACGAAGCTCAGCCGATAGCAGGCTCGATAGACTTGTCCAGCCGGGTGGTTGTCAAGTGCTCCTGGCAGCTTATCGCGAAGCACTCTGAAGATAAACTTTATCGCTTAGCCAATCAAAGAGGAGTGAAAGGCTTGGCGACTCTGCACACCTCATGCACGGTTGCCTTACTGTCTGAGGGTGTGCGTGGTGATCTCTGTGCAAACCACACTTACCGCGATCGTGAACTTCGAGTGCAAGTATTGAGTCCATTTTGTGTGCCACTTTATGCGGTTAAGAATATAAACACATTTCAAATGGCATTCATATCACTGATAGAAGGTTCATGTTGTCGTTCTTCCTCCTGCATTCTTACGCTAATGCTCTCATGTAGCTCACCATGAGCTTCACAAGAAGGCTGGAATTTTACACAGGGACATCAGTTTCAACAATCTGATGGTTGATTCCGATGATCCTACCAAAGGAATCCTCATCGACTTGGATATGGCGGTCTGCGACAAAGATGCCGACACTGGGGAAACTCTCGATGTACCAGACCTCCCTGGCGGCACTCCGCATTCCCGAGCCATAGACCTTTGCCAACCTGATCCACTGCCTCGGGCCCTTTATCGTCACGATCTAGAGTCATTCTTTTATGTGTTGTTCCTCATTTGTTACAAACGTGCAAATATCGCCGACCCGGTGGATTACTTTACGGACTGGAGTACGAGAACATGGACAGACATGTGCACCTTAAAAGAGGGGTTCTTATTGGTTGCCATATCGGACCCAGTAACTGATGCTGTGCCATTAGGAGCGAGCTGGATCCAACCTCTCCGGTTGATCTTTCGCGATGGCTATTCAGCAAAGAATCAAAGACGTCGACGGCGATTCGTGAATTCGCAACTACCCCCATTTGACGAGGAGACTTTAGATCACCATGTCACCTACGAAAGGTGTATGACAATTCTAAGGACCGGGTCTGCATAACAGCTGCTATTCTACCGCACGCTTGAGTGCAGCCACAAAGTTTGTGTATACAATATGGCCGTCTGCCGTTTCAACATTCGTTTTCTGAGTCCTCCTCTCCAACACATTTTGACCTCTGGATATCATATCACCCAGTGCGGAGAGGCACTCTGTCACGCCTGCATGCGACAGACTGGTTTGTTTACTCATCTGCAGCGTCTCAAGCACATCATGTTGCCCTCTATCCAGGAAAGCGAATTTTGAGAACTTGCGATGACCTACATTACCCTGCTCCCATCGTGACACCATCGCGAACTTGTCGAGGTCGACAATTCCCACTTTTGAAATGATGATTGACCAAAGGACCCAAAAGAAGGATTCAAGATCGTGTCGATAGAAGCGAGATGAGCATTCCTTTTGAAGTAGATCGACTGCGAGGAATGCAACGTTAAGCGTGAAAGCACTCTGCTGAGGATCTTCGGGAGGATGAGAAACTGGGCCGCTGGCAAAATCCCAATCTATCAGCACCCCGACGGGTCGCCCGTCTTCTATCCCCCACATGAGGTTGTTTGTGTGGATGTCACGATGGAGGATCCCTGCCTCCACGTATGCCCGGTGATGTGCTGGGAAAGCGTTACTGTGTGGTGAGCTGGAGCGAAATCTGCATACTCACTTTCAACAATGGAAAGGAAGATCCGAAAGAACAGCTTGGTGTCCTTGTTTATATCGATCGATGTGATAGGCTTGTACTTGTCGGCCATGACAATGGCCTCCAGATAGCGTATGGGACCAAACACGTAATGAGGTAAACATTTCATAAGTGCTCCTCGAGGTCCATCCCCAAGGCTGCTCAGCTTTTGGGCGCACAGGATCTCAGGTACACCTTCGATTCCCTTTTCCGCCAACAATCGGTAGTGGTCAATTTCTGATATGATACGGCGAGAAGGCTGATACGATAGTTTCAGCACGCACGTTCGGTCTCGACCAGTGACATCGTCTCGGGTGCTTGCAGTAAAAACGGATGTGCATCTCCCAGTGAGACCTCGCGTGACGTATATGGGCTTAGAGGGATCGAATGAAATGACATGGCCTTCAACGGTTATTCGTTGCCGGTCATGAGGGACGGGCCAATTGAAAGTGTCAAAGTGAGGGCAGAAACCGACTTCCTGAGGGCTCGCATACGTCATCGCCAAGATATGCCTACAGAACAACTCGAAGTCGTCCGGTTTCCGAATGTCTATGATACTCGACCCAATCGGCCCACAGTGATCGTAGTACCAGGTCTCGACAAGGGAACCAATAACGACCATGCCGGTACCGAAGCGGTTAAGAGAATTGCTTGACAGTTGTTCCAAACCATACCCAGCCAATTGTTGCCTCCCATCCAACGCTGCCTCGCCGGCCTTCTCAGACTCCCGCTCAATCTGCTCCTCTGTCATTTCACTATCTGAGGTGGGAGGGAGCAGTGAAGCACGGAAATTCTCCTTTCGCTTCAGGTCGATGGGAAAAAGAACATCTCTCCAATGTACTTGATCGGGGGGTATCGGGGCCCTCCGCCCGCGTCTCTTGCGAACAAAAACACCATCGGGACTAATGAACTCAAAGGTTTCAGCATTAAAGCGATGGTGAAATCATGGGGACGAGATGACGTGCCTCCTCATTGCACTACTTAAGGCTCCTAGAAGCTTCTTCTTCCCGTGCGTTTTTACGTAATCGATCCTCCCTCCATTGGCCTTGATAATACTGGAGACCATCTCGGCAAAGGGGGCATACAAATCGCGCTCTAGGCTATCTTTCTTATCGACCACCTCAAGATACTCATCCCGGAGCTTGCGTAGCGGACCTTTGACCTTCCTGAGCAGGTCCGGTGGTAGTTCCTTCAAGGTGGGATGTATGACATCCAAGAACTGGTCATAGGGGATTCCTCTAGCGTTCATTTTCCCGAGTTCGCATCTTAGTTTATGATGTTCCGTTGATTTGCGTCCATCAGAATTTGGGATTCCCGCGACGGTTGAGGTTGAACGCATTGACCCTATAGAGAGACTCAGGAGGTTGCTCATTTGAGAAATAAATAGGCCACGTACCATATCTACGATCCTCACAGTCAGGAGCTCTTGGCGAAACATTTACGTCGCCAACTAAAGTGACACTCGTCAAAAGGCCTGAGAACACTGGTGAGTGGACGTGGGATTGAAATAGCCGACAAATACTTTTTCCATCCTCAATTTCGTCCTTCCACTTTACCGTCCCAGCTGGACTGTCCACGACGCCGTCTGGTATCTTAGTCTCCGAGATGATAGGGGAGGGATCCGGAGTGCTGGAAGCCAAGTGGAGACGGGACGCCCTAGTGCGTCCGATGGTATCGAAGTGATACACATACTCCTTTGTAAGACGTTTCCGCTTCGTTTTTGCTTTGGGAAGCGTCGTATTGAGGCGGGAGGATGATGCGATGGATGGGCTCATGCTCGCCTTGCCCTCAGGTAAGTTAAGCCGCAGGGGATCGGAATGGGTGTACTAAGGAGGTCGGGGGAGGGGAGAACAAAGATCAACTCAGGGTGGCACAAGATGAATGGTGGCGAGAATGAGCATCCAACTTGGGAACTTCATGAGTGGCACTGTAGTTTTGAGTGGTCCGGTGGTTCGGTGGCCAAGATCGCTGACGACGCGTACACATAGGTAAACAGCACGTGCCGCACGTCAGCGCGTTTCCAAAGGAAGAACGCGCCACTAACTCCGCGTTCCTATTGTTATCTCAATTAATAAGCAAGCCTTTGTTGGCGGTGGATCTGCAGCACTCCGTTCATACCACCCCTGACATGTGGCTCGATCCAGTTGTACACGACGCTCGTCTTTCTGTTGCCATCGAGCACAGCCGACGATTAGGCAGGATACCAGCCTCTAAGTATACTGTACTATAACGACCATAGGTTCATTCCCACGGTTTTCGGGGATTGCCGTGTCCTGCTCGCTTAGTTCATCTATGCATGTGACATGTGACATTCGCTGCCCGAGGTTCAATGTCTATTCAAGGTTGCCATCTCATTAAACCTTTTCTGGCGTCCTGGTGTGGCGTCTACCAGCTAAGTCTAGGACGGAGAATCGTGTTTCGATGATAAATAGGTGGAGAATATCTATAGGTACGCTTAGGTGATGTCCATGGATCCCTTTGCATTTGCTAGCTACATTGAAGCGCTCACAACAAAACCTTGTAATTTCAAGGATGTTCCACTGTCCCTTATCGGGACTCTCTTGCCTGACCCACATCTCTCTGTGATGTCTTTTCTCGAATTTTCCCTTCCACAATTGCCACTCGAGGATGCGGAGACACATCTCACCTACACATCTTACATTCCTATCACTCCCCTTGACCTTAAGGTGGTCGAGTCTCTGCGATGGCCTCCACTATACTCTATCAGGCATTTTCTTGCTCTGAGTCCGCCTCCTGGTACCCGATCTATCGCCATCAATGACACCCCATATCCACTGAACTTAGCTCCAGTCCTGCAATCCATACTATTGGTGCGGGATCTCCAGGACCTATGGCGTACTGCCTTCAAGTGGCTGACCAATGGCCTGCGTCAAGAGGCCTTATCGCTTGAGTTGAAAGAAATTTTCCACTTGTTGCTTGGGATGACCACATGGTCCGAATGTGTTCATGGCTTCAGGGACATGCTGGGGGTGAGCTCGCTGGTACGGATTGTGTCACATGCGTGTCTGAATGACACTGACCATGAGCGGTACTGCTCAATTCTTCGTGGAGAACCTGAAATAACTCGTGCTGCCGTCCACGTTGCGTCCCCCAACTTTTTTGATCGGGTCCGTGAATTTTTTGGTGAAGAGAATTTGCCTCCAAAAGTGTATGGCTCTCGATCTTACCGTTTTATGCGAGACTGTGCAGCGCAATTAGCAGATGGGACATTGGAGACACTTATTGGGATTGCATTTGTCAATCAAAATCACTGGATCGCTATTGTCATAGAAGGTAGATCGAAGACCATCCGAGTTGGGGACTCATTGTTTCATCCAACAACTGCCCATAAGGTCCCTATCTGTGCAGTTCCACTCATTAATGCTCTTTCCCGGTGGCTTATGTATCCTCCATTTGCTGCGGGGTCTGTTGAAACTGTTTTAATTCCGACTACACATCAAGATGACGTTTCTTCATGTGGTCTACATGCACAGAACGTGCTTGACAGCATATTTCGACCAGAAATCAAGTACCTATCAACTTCGCAATTTCGCCTCTGTTTATTTGCTTTTATGCGGGTTCTGAACCACCACTTGCTTAATGTAAGCTTTTCAGTTGGTCTCTTACTGTTCACGCATTAATGTATTGACTATCCAGACTGGTGCATCAGTTGATGGCGTGGTCGAACAGACACTATCACTATTGGTACCCTCCATGACATTGTCTCTTCTGCCTACCTCTCCCACATCGTTAAGGTCCCCGCTTCCCTTTTCCCCTGCCCCGACACCACCCTCATCTCCCAAAGCACTAGGGGCTGCAGCTAAGGCTCCGAAGGAAATCATTCCGAAGGTTGAGAAGGTGATGAAGTTAAAGCTGGATCTCTGTTCAGACATCTCCAGTGCGGTGGATGGTGAAGGGCTACTCAGTTTTTTCCCCCAAATAACCCCGGAGCAAAAGGTTCTTCAGACAAAGCACCAATTTGAAGAGCTACGTGAATCCCAGGACTCCAGGGCCAAAGCTGTGAAGTTGAGGGCAGTGATGGTTGCGGCTGATCGGAGGGAATATGATCGTGTACGACAAGCCAATTATCGTGCTAGGAAGCGGACATTTGATGGGGAGTCAAGGAAGGACAGTGGGAAAAGGGTATGTTGCTAGCTATTCAGCTGATTACTATTTTTTTCACATGAAGTTATCGTGAACAGCATCAAACTGACACTCCAGACACCGTGACAGACCCAGAATCACATTCTACTCAGTTGAATGTTGCTCAAATTTCTCGTGCTAAGCGTGGATTGGCAGTCATCAAACACGAGTTACATAAGGTGAAGGAACCTCACCGAAGTGGACGGAAACAGACAAAAGAGGTCAAGGCTGCTGTACGGACCTATTGGTGGGGCCCTACATTCTTTTTGCTTCTAACAGAGGCTGCAAAGAAAGTTCATTGGGCAAACCCGTCGAAAATTGTACAGCAGGCACAACGTACCTCGCCTTCACTCTTCAAGAAGCTCACTTCTCAAGTAATTGGGAGACATATCATCAAAGGGAAAGGGTGGAATGAGGATGCTTTGAGGAAGGCAGCACAACGAGATTCTCCAGGTGGTAAAACAACGCGGCGGGGGATTTTGGTATGTAATTCATGCTAGTTATCACAATAGTTTTTTCATACTAAGTTCCCCTCTCTCAAGGATGGCTACCCCGAAATCACCGCTGAGATTACTCAAAAACTTAAGGGCTTGAGACAGATAGGCGCTGCAGTATCTCTTAGTGATGCACGCTGTCTGATCATTGCTACAATTCAGTTCCGTGACCCTTCTATATTCAAGAAGAAGTTTAAGGATAGAAGTGTCTTTCGTGCAACTGAAGGGTGGGTCTTGAAGTTTCTCCACAATACCGTGGGTTGGAGCTATCGGAGGCCTACCCAGGCCTCGCAAAAAGCCCCAAGTGATGCTCAAGTTCTTATTCACAATTCACTTCTTCGCCAAGCATGGTCAATCCGCTCATACAACATACCCGCTGAACTTCATGTCAACTCTGATCAAACTCAAGTTGTTTACTCTGATCCGAAGACATCAACATGGAACGATATTGGGGCAAAGCAAGTCTCAGTTTTTGGAAAGGAGGAGAAGCGCGCAATCACGGTGAACATTGCGATCTCGGCAAGTGGTATACTGCTGCCGCTTCAGGCTATTTTCCGTGGCCACACTGCCAAATCCCTCCCCCTTCCATCATCTCCCTACTATAATGAAGCTATGGAATTGGGGTTTTGCTTTGTCATCTCGAACACAGACACCTATTGGGCAACTATTGAGACGATGAAGCAATATGTTGAAGACATTTTAGTGCCATACTTCCGTCAACAGAAGAGAAGACTCATGCTTCCTGAGGATTACCACTGTATCTGGCAACTCGATGTATGGGCTGTCCATACATCTCGGGAATTTCGTGAATGGCTTTATAGCCAATTCCCTTGGATTATTCTCGATTACGTCCCCGGAGGTTGCACTGGTCTCTTTCAACCTTGTGACCTTGTTATTCAACGGGCATTCAAGCTTGCTGTCAATCGAGAGCACCGTGTTGACACAATTAATGATGTCCTCAAGCAGCTCGAAGAGAGGAGGGATGTTGTTGCAGTGGAGAATGGCCTTCCAGAATTGCGCCGACGGATGGTTCGCATCCTTGTCAAGGCTTTCCATGAAGTAAACAAGCCCCACATCGTACTTAAGGTATGAGTGCTTTGCAAACTGACTCATGTGCAACTGCCACTCATTCCTCCTATCAGGCCTTCGAGAAAGCGCAATCTGGTGAATTCAGTCTATCACATTCCAGCCTCACAAGCCCTGCCATGCTTGACATCCTGAGGACTCTCCACATCGACAACCCACTGCTCTTTTCCGAGTTCTCAAAACCTCGATCAGCTCCAATAGCACCACGCAACCGCACTCAGCGTGCAGATGGCACACAATTGGATGAGCCCCCATTCCCACCTGATGTCAACGAACCATCTGATATTCCCTTCGACGCCGCACTTACACATACTCTCACAGGGGAGGTTTGCGAGGGTCTTATGCTTCAACCTGGCACCCAAATCCTTCAGCCACGGCCTACATGTTGGAGGAGCAAGTCATAATGGGTGTTGTGCACTTTCCATACTTGTCTCGATGTGTATTTACATGTATTTACACCGACAAATATATCTTCAGAGTCTACTGCCATCCCAACCGAGCCACCGCACTGAGTGGTGCAACTTTAGGTTATGAGCCCAGAGCGGCTCACCTGGGTTGGTTCAAGTATAAGTCCACATGACTCTCGTGGCACCCTGGCCAGGTTCAAGTGGCTTATGAGGAAGACTTCAAGTTTGTCTGCGATAAGTCCTTGAAAAGGCACGCATCTTTGGAAAACCCAAGGCTGAGATACAATCTTGGAAAGCCCTATTTGAGGCTGATTGCAAGCCCCTTGGATGAAGCCCTCACACTGGGAATGCGGCACAGACTACCACTCCTTCTCTATTTTCCGTCGTGCCACGTCATAAAATTCCCACGGTCTTTGCGCTGCGAACCATAACCCTCTGAAGCATGGAATGCTCTCAGGAGGGACTTGGAGATCTCTTGGGCTGATCCTTTGGATCTTTATTCTTTGGGACTGATATATTCCACATGAATGAGAGGAGGACTAGGAACTGATTTGGACATGCGCGCGCGATTCTTGCGGCTTTTATGCATGCAATATACTCCCTTAACATCGCCTCAAGCAATTTTACTGTTGACTCCACACCCCTTGGGCTGGGGGCATGATGCAAATTCAACAGGACCGGGTTCAGCTTGGCTCCGGACCATGCTTTATAAAAATGCGCAATATTTCCACTTCCACCTCCCGTTTTCGTCCTCGCTATCACACCAATTGGCTCCGGCCTTAATCCACCTCAATAAATCAACAATCACATACTGCAACATCTACAAATGCGGCAGCGTCCTATGAGTCAGCTTATAATCAGCGACTCCGATGCAAATAGCTATGGAGCGCAACCCGCTTTTCAATGCATGCAGGGGGGGGACTAAGATTCCCTTTTGAGGACAAGGATCTTTTGAAGCGAAGACATATGTGAGCAAAAAAAAACTCATGCAAAACTACCATTCATGTCCCGTTTGCCCATTTTACGATCATTTTCGTGCACAATCCATTCCTTTCCAACAATCGCCCTGTGACCAATCCGAACCACCATCACACATGCCCCTTTCCCTAACACCTGAGGGGGAGAATAGTCGCTATGCTTCAATCAGCTGTCATAGAAGGAGGGGGAGCTGCCTAACTAAGGGCATTGATAATAAGGAGTGGGTGGTATAATGCGACCAAGAAGGACGCTGAGGGGGAGGTCATCGATTTAAGGGCACAGCAAATGGAGGAATCATAAGGCCATCAAACATTTCTTTATTGGCATAGTCTTTATGACAGCCAACACCTTTGTTGCTCATCATATTGAATATGGTAATGATTTCTACATTCGTTTTTGTCCTATGGACAATTTTCTATCAACCTCTCCTATCAAGTTGTTACTTGATTCCACATTCATTGAATACTTTTGGATCATGACTTGAGGGGGAGTGTTGGAGGAGCAAGTCATAATGGGTGTTGTGCACTTTCCATACTTGTCTCGATGTGTATTTACATGTATTTACACCGACAAATATATCTTCAGAGTCTACTGCCATCCCAACCGAGCCGCCGCACTGAGTGGTGCAACTTTACTACACTCGCAAATGAGCTAGATAATGACTTTCCTGAGGCTGATGCCAATGCTATGGGTGACCACTTCAGTGTGGTTGAAGATGGAATGAGTGAGCTTAAACAAGGATCCAGTGATTCGGATGATTATAACAACAACAGAGCACCTTGTAATCAGGAATCAAACTGGGATTCGGAGCCAGCACGTCGAGGGGGAAGATTGAGGAAACCTGTTGATTTGGTGGCACGAAATAGATGGTGGGAAGGGTGGTAGCATGCATGGAGAATAATATCTTGATTGCTAACTTGATTTGCGGGGACATCCTGCTTCGTTAGTTCAAAGTCCCAATGTGACATGTGACAGAACCTCTTTTAGTTCAGTTCAACAATCTCGTGTGACATGTGACTGAACCTATGGTCGTTATAGTACAGTAGCCGACGATCATGAACTTCTTATCAGAACTAGAGACCTGATTTCAATCGTTCCACATGCGTCAACCCCTCATCAGTCGATAACTATGCAATAATCCATTATCCTCTTTTCTTTCATTCACCTTGCGCACCTCCGGACCTATACCAGCAGAGGTAGCAAAGTGCAAAAAAAAAAAAAAGTCCAATCAGGGGAAAAATGGTGGTCGATCATCATTTATTTGCTGCCTTTTTGGATGATCACATGACTTTCACGGTTATTCATCCAGATCGGGCGCGCCGATTTTTTTGCACCTTCATTTTACGCCATTATGTAGTGCAATTCATCGTCGTCCCCGTTTCTCGCTCGATTCGCCTAATTGTTTTTCTCTTCGATAACGGTCATCAACGATAAACGACGCCCAGATCAGGATCATGCTCCGAGTCTACTTGAGTTTGGATGAACGCTGCCATGGGGTTGCCATGGAGTTTAGAGAAGAGCCGACGTTCAGGAAGCGAGTAAGAACCGGCTTACCTAATCGAAGTTGTTTGCAAGAGCTCAAATCCACCCTAAAGATGAAGACGAAGTGATATTCCATGAAAATTACCCGAACCCAGACATCTGGTCGCCTTCGCCCGGGCCGCTTGCTCATTTCGAGGGGTAAAAATCCATACTGTCAGATGGACGGGGGAGTCCGCTTACCTGTGGAGAAAAGGGGTCGTCTATATATTGCTCATGACGTGTGTCGCCGTCCAACGTGTCGGCGGACACCAGACTTCCATGTGCCTGATCCCTTTGGAATCCCCACAGCGAGATACTTGGTGTACTGCCTGTCGCCTCTCAAAAGGGCCTACCTACGCTTCAAACCGTATACAAGAACGCGCGCTCATATCAGTTTTTCACACACACACACACACTTCGTCCAAAGCCGAACTGGAAGGCTGATCTGGACCATATCTGTAAATGGATGTTACATGAGGCAACTATCAAACACGCAGGAGCCCGTCGATTTCACCATTCCCGTCTTCTTCGGGAATCCTGCAGGAGATCATTCAACGTATATATACGTAGCAAGACCTTTGTAATTCAAGTCCAGGGTTCGTGGGTTACGAACAAATGGTCATCTATACCCGGAACCCTGATCCTGCAATCTTTCTCGATCTAGGTGCTCAAACATCAAGCGTCTATACACTGCGTTCTAGACGCGTAGTTTTTGCAGGGTCAGGGAAACTGGCCGGTCCACCACCTCGGGAAACCAAGAAATCGGTGGGAACGTGCCATAAGAAGATAGTAACGACTGGTATCTCATCGTGGCGCAAGGTTGCTCTTCCGAAACTTATTCGGTGATGCCTCACCGATTTGGGAGGATGGCTTTGGTAGAAGAGACCGTCGTGCTGAATTGGCGCGACGCCAAAACGCCACAAAGAGAGGCTGGTGACCTGCCTACCAAAGAGCCTAGTTTCGAGATCACCTGGTGCCTGGTGGGAATTCCCCCTTATTGTGCGCTCTCAAATAATCCTTTTTTCTGGAGTTGTTTCTCTTTTTCTTTTTTTTGGTCCGCCGTATAGCTCACTTCGTGCTTTTCCCTCTAACGTTCTGGTCTCTTCCTAATTGGTTACCGCTGTGACGCTCGGCAACCCTTTCGTCCAGCTCGCCAGTCAGCCTCCTGTCGAAAGATCCAGGGTTTATGGGTGAATCACAACTCCTCCTTGTGTCTTGTACAGAGTGAGTTAAGGCCGGCCATGTCTCTCATTCGAAACAGCGTTATACAGTAACATACTAGTATGAATCCCATTTCGTGTCCATCATCTTAGCCGGACGGTCCATACGTCTTAACTCCGTTGTCCTGCGTACGGGGTTCCAGGGATGATGGAGGGCGCTGAGATAGTGGGGAAGGAGCGTGGAGCGCCGGAAGACATGACGCCCTGGTGGTGTCGAAGTGATATGGATAATCCTTCCGAGACGTTCTCGCTTCATTTCTTCCTTTGAAGCCATCGTATTGAGGCGGGAGGGGGAGGTGGTCATATCGGTGGGCTAGGCTGGCTGGGTCTGAGTCGGGTAGGTGGTACGTGGAGGTAGTAGGGAAGTGCAAAAACGGCCCAGGTGTAGCAGGCCCGCAGGTGTCTAGGAAGAACTTTAAGCGAGGCGCCTGGGCCATTTTCTCATTTCCGGGAGGGAGCCCGTTCGCGCCAGCGACCATGTTCCGTAGAAAATATGTCGCTCCAGGCCCAGGTTGTGACTCTGACATGGTGCCGACAGCGCCGTCGACCTCACTGATTCTATATATCTCGTTATGCATATTTGCCAGTTCTTCGACGGCAGTGAGTATTTCTGTGAGAATTGATGTTACACACCAGTGGGGAAAACCAATCTACTAGCAGAAGCCTACCTTTGTACGCGTTGCTTCGACGACCCCGGCTCCGCATGGCTTCGCGAAGTTGTTCCTCGGCTTCCTCCCTTTTAGCCTTCAGCTTCTAATTACAGGGGCAGATACGTGGTGAAGGTGGCGGTAGTGGACGTGACAGTAAGATGGTGGTTGCTTACAGGAGGAGTTGACCTAAGTGAACCATTTAATTTGACACATTTAAGTCCAAAACGTTCGCAGGCGTCGCAGCTCAGCCCACAAAGAGGACGACACCTCTGATGAGGCGAGAAAGCGCTGTCAACAGCTGAGCAAGGCCACGGATCCCGAACAACATACCTTCTTCCTTAAGCGGCAATTCACGCAGCCTCGGCTGCTTCGAACGTATCTTTTGGGGTGCTGTGCCGACATCGAGGGAGGGGTGGTGAGGAGGGACAGTAGAGAGTGTCGAAGCCTCGCCTTTTATTCCCAAACGCGCCATGGTTAATCGTCAGGTTCAAGTCAACGGGGAAAATTCCCTCTTTTTTCTGGAATATGGTACAAATTTTATACGATACAATACATACCTATGTGTATAACAATTCATCGTGCATCAATAGGAGATACCAGATATATCCCGCGAAACTCAGTCCCTGTATAACGCCATCCTGAGAAAAGAAGTCATTGTTTGTTACGAGTCCCCCCTGGATCCCACAAAACCCGCTAACGCTGAAATTCCCAACTGAAGCTGATAAAACAGTTATCTGGGCCGTTGAAGGGGCATGAGCGGAAGTAGGCATTGAGTCCCAGGAGACTTCGTTTGGAGGGGTTCAATTCGCTTTAGGTCACCTGAGCTAGCGACCAGAGTGAAAAATTGGCAATCGAGGAGCAACTTATTGCGGCGAATGCAGTCAGTGCCATTACCCAAATCCGTAATATTTTTTACACTCGCTGCAACGCGTGAGGGATTATCAACTCGTCCTGATTGGATTGCCAGCTGTGGTGATCCCAGAGTGCCGGCGCACAGCCTGTCAGGGTCGAAAGCCCAGGTCGGAGAGCTGAGATTTGATCAATTAACCACCCCAACGTGGGGAATTGTTTGTACGATGACGCATATTCAGTGGCGTCACCAAATTTTAGATGTTTCCCACGTCATTAATTTAATTGAATCCAAATTTTTTAATTTTCGTGGTAACAGTATTGCATCCTGAAGATCCCCGCTGTGAACGTATTCGGTGTCCCTGGTTGGGGGGGGGATTGAGACCACCATTGAGCCGCAGTCCATTGCATGCAACCCAGTGTCGCGGCGGCTCGGGACCTGCACGATTTTCACCAAACCACAAGCTGGCGTTTTCGGAGGACCGAAAGGAGGGACTACCCCTGAACCCGTGAGTGAGTTCGTGATCGTACACATGCGTTATTTTTGTTATACATCGCTGTCCTCCGCATCAGCGAGCGGGGACATGCGGTTTCATCATGTCCCAAAGCACCACGTTTTCTGGATGGGCGGATACCTGAGCGGTGAAACTCTTCATGTCGTGACAGAAATTCACTGTGTGCATTCGGTATTCACGACCCACAAAGCCTCTTCCTTCCACGAAATCGTTCACATGCACGAAAATTGACGCGTGGAGACGTCCAATTCAGAGGGCTGACGCAGTCTAAGGATCGCAATATATCCTTGGAAATGTGGCCTCAATAAAATATTGCCTAGTCGAATTCTAACGTCCACACCTTGGGACAAGTCAATGCAGCGGGACTAAATAAACGTACTTCGTAAATGCGACCCGACACAGACTAGTTGATGCCTGTCTCCACGCCTCGCTTGAGTATATATGCATGTCTTGGTGAGCCTTTCCATATCCACCTTCGCTTGCAAGCTAGATGCAGCGTACGCCCCCCGCATTGACACATGTCATTGCGCCTACAGGCATCTCGCAGTGTGAGCGACGAGTCGGGTTTTTCCTTTGGTCGCAACGTTCTTCGAGAAAATTGTCGTTAGGATGGAAGATACCGAGTATATGAAAGTCCCTCTGCTTTGGTTTTCTCGACGTATTTTATCCAATCAGAGAGGACAACTAACCGCGCGGCCACTAAATGTACCGAGGTTTCCTCTGTGACTTCTGGTAAACGGAACGTTCCTCCGGAGAGCCCAGGACTCCATATCTGTGCGTGTTGATTCTCCAGAAAGGGTCACCTGGTCGCCCGTTCCACCATAACTACCCCACATATTCCTAGTATCCCACGCTAATCTCCGCTGCGACGGCTCAGCGTGTAGGATGGAAGCTGGAAAGAATGAATTTGGCGTTTGAAATAAGTATTGTGGACGTGTGTTGGATATGTACGTATGTTGTTGCTGCCCAGGTGGCGCGGGAGCGCGCGGATAGTTGTAAGTACAAGGAGTCCCAGGGACAGGAGAGACGTACTGACTCAGCTCAGAGAAGTGTGGTGAGAGTTTTGGTGCTGTCAACTTAAGGGCGGCGGCTGCTGTTTTACAAGCCACTGCGGGGAGTGTAGCAACTCGTATGATGATTTATGTATGGAGGGTCCCCTATAGTCACAGCATGGTGCGGGGTGGAATCGAATAGGGATATGCCAGAACTGCCTGAATGCGAAAAGTACTACTGTTCGGTGCCACAGTCGTGGAGGAATATCCCAGTCCAAAGGGGATGAACACCGTTGAGCCCGAGCCATAGATTGCCGGAAGAGGAACATATCAGCGCTGAATTTGACTTCGTCGTCCATAGAACGTAGGAGACGAAGGATTAGCGGCGCGCGGCTAGCTGTCACCATATGGACTATAACTGTATTCAGAGTTGAACTCAATTAAAGCTTCCCTATCCTCTTTTAACCGTGTTCGAGTCTCATGGCCGTTGCCTGTGGAAGGGACGATCCAAGTTGCCTTACGAAGCGGGGTTCGACCTTCCATTCGTGCTGGTTGTACCGAAAGGGGTTCCATAAGGATTCCTAAGACAGATCTCGCTTACCTGCAAACAAGAACCCAGGGGCGAAGGACCAAAATCAACCAGAAACGGTGGCGTCGTCACCAATAACTCCGGATGGCCCTTACGGATTGGGAGTCTTTGATTAATGCCCTGAGTGAAGGCGGTGACCGAGATCTGTGCTCTTAATGCTCACCCCAGATAAATTGGTACTTATATAGCTCGTTTTTCCAGTCCGAGTATCTGAAGATGGGAATTTTGTCCTTACGGTATCCGCGCCGCCGCTAATCCATAAAGGTATGTCCCTGGGGCCCTGCTGGACCGTTTTGAGTGAGGTGGCAAAGTTACTAAAAGGGCTCACTGGAATGTGCCGTTGATGAGGGATTTTGTGCTATACCGTCCTATCACGAGGAGTCCAAGAACTGGTTCTGCTCTACCCCCACTTCCCCGCTTCCCCATTCCCTACTTCCTCCTGTGTTGAGTAGCGTCAAACTCTCGTAGAGAGCGTAGCGCTGATTTCGGAGTCGCGCCGCCATGCAGTCTCGCCACCATACCTCGCAGGAGACGAGAGAGAGACCTCACGAAGAATTTCTGAGTCTCGTCCTTTAGTACTAGGTGACCGCTACATCATCAACACCAAACGTTGAACTCGCCGGGTCGGCTGGCGGAAGGGGGATCCGCACCAGAGCCTGGAGGCCCTTTTTCCTGAGGTTGAGACAACGTTTATAGATCAGTTAAACTCACGTCCTTCCCTCTGCCAGACCTGAATTGCACATGGCCTTCGTACAAGTATGACTACGCTACGTAGAGACCCAAACCAATAGCTAACCAAAAGCCAAGACCGCGGTAATCGCCCCGTCAACGTGTATTGTAATGGGTTATGCCTGATGTGCATGTGAGTTGGGCGATAGAGACAGCCAGTTCATCCCCACTAATGGTGAGCGCTGACGACAATCCAATCTTGCATGCGCTTGAACCCCACCCTCACCACATGATGGCATTTGTCAAAACCAAACAGTTCCAAGCTGTCCCGTCCGCCCATTAGCATCCCCAGTCACCCGTCCATCTCAACCCCGGACATGATTTCACCTGGTTCCTACTATCGGACTTCACACTTCGATGCACCGTTACTTGGCTAATCACATCGCAACAGCCAGAATCAATGTACAACGGGGTCACCAGGTGTGCTGGGCTGCTTTGCGCTTCACAATGGAAGGGTCTGAGGATGTTGGACGAAACCGCTTGATGGGTGAATTCCACAAGGTCAGCCAGAACATAGAAAGCTCATTACTGGCTAGCATCTCAAAGATTCCCACAGACCATCAGGAAGCAGAACCTAAAATTAACAGACTTCGCCGCTTATCCCTTCCCGACACGGAACCGATGGCCACCCCGTGCCCATATCCAGCGTCTTCCCTGATCTTTAACACTATTGTCCACGACACCACCAAAAATTAGTCGAGCTATCTTCCAAACTAAGGACCATCGCTACACATGTGGCATAATTCGGGTGTCATCGACGAGACTCGTGCTCATATAAAAATATAAAAGTCACAAAGGCGTGCACCTGTCGCTGGCAGCGAGAAATGAGGGAGCATTTGTCATTCGTCTCCAGAACCAATTATATCAGTGGGTACCTAATCGGTGTTGAATCCCTCGTTTACTCCATTAGAAGCATGAAAAGGCAATGGGGGATGCATCCATATAACGGAAACTACCACAGGAGCGGAGGACGAGGAAGTCTGCCGAGGATGAATAGCAAGCCACGAGCGTAATCAAGTAAGTTCAGTTCAGTTATATAATTTTCGATGGTCGCTGATCAGAGTTAGCCGAGCAATCGGATTGGGAGTCACATCCTAGCCCCATCACTAAACAGCCCGGTCTCACAGGACGCAGGAGACTGGGGTGGTGAGAGCAGGACGGGACCACGGCAAAATTCCGAATCTACGATGGCTCAGAGACTTTCCCTCCCCAGCACGCGCCTCCGGCCATATGAGTTGTATGATCTCGAAGGTTTGGCGTTGTCAAATGTTTACTTTTGGCTGCCTAGTATCCTTGCCCAGTCTAGGTAACCAAATGTAGTATCTATAGTAAGCGCGGCGCCGCCAGTGCATATTCTATGTTCTTCCCTCGGCAGCCGTTTGCGAATACCCAAAAGAATCGCCCCATAGAAGAGCGTTAGTTCCAAAAACGTAGGGTGTCGCGTCAATTGATTCAGATGTATCACGTGTACAAATACATTTCTGCCCCTTGATTTGCGCTACCGTGTTGATGGACTTGCAATTCCCCATGGTGATCGCAGATCGCGGAGGAGATTGAATCCCAGCCCTTTGGGTTGTAACTCGTGCTCGAACTTTTATGTC